TATATAAATAAAATTTTATTTATATTTTAATTTTTTATTTTTATAAAATTTGTTATTGGTTATCTTTTTTTTACTAAGAAACGCGAATAAATTTATACTTGAGTTCAGGTAAAATACTAACTATGTTACCTTAATTTACCATGATAGGGGCAATTTTCAATGCGTCTGAGATTTAACAGAAATAAATGTGATAATGCTGTTATAATCAGAAACGCTCCTTTTTTCCCCACAGATATATCTTTACTTTTATTGACGTCTGATTGACTTTTATTTACTTAAAACCTACTATTATATCTATAATAACCACTTTCATAATTACTCTCACTTACATACTAAAGGATTAAAGAAACAAATGATGAAATCTTAAGTAATCGTAACTTAGAATTTAAGTTATTTAAAAAATATAGTTTGAAGTACTGAAAATAATTAAGGGTATTATTAATTATGCATATTTAGACTAAAGAGAAATTTAAAAAGTATAGTTTAAAGAACTGAAAATAAATAAGGCTATTATTAGTTATGCGTATTTAGTCTAAAGAGAAAAAATTGTATTATCTTCTGGTTTTCAAGAAATGATAAAATATTCAAACTTTAGAAAAATAGAGGGAATACAAAATTTAAAAAAAAGAAAAATATATTAATTGTAAGGCTTATTCTTCTGCATAAATCAATATGTAACACAAGGACATAATAACGGGTTTTGCAACTGTTGCAAAAAGGTTGCAAAACAACTGTTTCAAAAATTTTGCGAACATTTATGCGTCGTTAAGACGTTGTGATACGATGCTTTCACAACTAAAATATAACCTGCGAAAGACGCAATAACGACGTCTATGTGACAAAAATATCATCTGCAAAGACGTAATAAAGAGATCTTTGCAACGGTTGCAAAACAGTGGAGTTTCGCAGACATCTAGGCGTCTTAAGGACGACATATTGCAACGCTTTTGCAGCATGACTCGCGACCAGTTTGCAACGTCGTTACGACGTTGCCGTGCTACTTGGAATATTATGCAATTAAGTTAATGGAAGAAAATTTAAATTTTTTAATAGCTCAAGGCTATTAGAATTAGGACAATCTTTATATTATTAATTAAATGTTAGTATTTGCATAAATATACCTGGATGGGCCTGATGAAATATACCTGTATATTGGATGAGCCTGATAATTTTTAGTTGTTCTATATTTGGAAATATGCTTGAAAGAATCACTATAATCCTCATGCTTTAAATCCCTCTTTTGTTACTTAGAATAGGTGGGAAGTCTGTAGATTGAATAACTAATAGTAATCTCATGAAATATCAGACTTGGGAGAAAAGGTATAGATGATTGTCATATGTAATTTTCAGACTCTCAGATTTTCATGTAAAGTTTGCTACACGCAGTTAATTTGAATTTTATTTTTATCTTTTTTTCGATTAGTTTGGAAAGGAACCTATAAGAAATACAAGGGTAGACTTCTAGGACTACTTGTGGCTCGCGGTGTTTGAGTAAAGCTGCTTTATACAATCAGAGAAAAGAAATTTTATCCCTTTTTTTATAATCAGCTTTAAACTAAGTCGAACTTACCGAGAACTAGGTTAATTATCTACAGAATGTTAGGAGTATTTTACTAGGAATTCAATCCGTAACAGAAAAATTTAAAGGCTAAATTCTTCTAACGTTGAATGAAATAAGATATTGAACGGAAATTTCGTTTAGATTCGAGAAACTTTAAATGACTTAGGTTAAGTACAGTCACTTATCTTAGGTGTGGGTAACATTGTTACCACGGTAACTCCAAACATTGAAAGAATTATGTTGCTTAGTTAATTAAACAATGACTATAAATTTTTTATAAGCAGTTTTACTCATATAGCTAAAAGGTTTCGGGGAATATAGATCTAATTTATATTTGGGGTTATTTATATATTGGTCATATGTTTAGTAAATAACACGAAAAAATGATAGGAAAATTACTGTTAATGTGATGTAGTATATTATTAACATTCATGTGCATACTTTTCTAGCTCATATTACAGGCTGACAAAATGCCTTATTTAATACGTTTAATACGTTCCTTATTTAATACATCAGCGCCGAGGGTTAAATGCACTGAGCACTGGTAGTTCGACCTGGATGTAAATTCCAGTGGACAGGATGGTTGTCTGAGAGGTTTCGTCACTTTCCTCCTGCGTAACGTAAATACGAGCTAGGTTTCTTTAGTTAAGTACTCCACGAAGGAACCCTTCTCTTCAAACAGATATTTCTGGCGTGTTCTGCTGTAATCTAAATAATCCAATTTAGTTTGCAAATTCAATAACCAATTTCTTTAGAACGCGCAAGTAATGTACTAGTTAGAGCTTCGAATCTTAGTTTGATGTTAACTTTAAAAAGAAAAGTAACACATTTTACGCGTTAAGACACCTCCCACGAATTTACAGACCTAAAAGTGTAATGCTGACAATTAATGTTGCAGCTTTGAACTTTATTATGTACCCGAAATTTCCAAGCCTTGTTTTTTGATTTTGAACAGCGCAATGAGTAATGTTAGGTTCTGTGGCCAATAGTTAAGGTCCTGTTTCTATAGGAGCAATCCACGGCACAGATCTTTGCGTTACCATTATAAGAGAAAACTATTCGAATTAATTTGCTTCTGAAGAAGAAAGGATGTGTCATTTTTCTCTCAAAATGCCATGAAATGTTTCATTAAAGAACAGGATGCAAATTAAATTTAAAAAAGAAAGTTTGATATTTGTCATATAAATTAGTTTTACCAGTTGTGGAAATTACCTGAAATTAGTAATTTGAATGTCTTGTGAAAATTACTACTGAAAATGTTTTCATAACACAGAAAGTAATTTTTAAAGTTTGCTAAACTTGTATATACTATAAATGTGTATGGTGCTTTAATTGTGGGTTTTTCAATTTAATTTCATACTGTTAACTATTTTGTTTTACGCTTTTATGCTATCCTAATAGTCATTCTAGACTTCAGTTTAATTAAGATAAATTTTCCATCCTATAATTTCAAATGTTTTATATAACTTTGTTTTGTATAAACGTGATCTTAGTTTTAAATATTTAATTACGATATACGGTCCTGTTAAAAGTTTCAGTCCAAAGGGACGTTACCCCCGAAAGGCTATTAGTCTAGAAACGGCATTGTGCGTCGAATACTATAAACGGCTCAAATTGTTGCTTATCAAATTGTTGCCACCAAATAATATCGCCCTGTATTATATTTAAAGAAATCAAATAACGAAGAATCTACATGAATATATGTATATTTCTCGCACTGTGAAAAAACAACGATACCTAGACTCATCAAATTTTGAATTACCTTATAATGTTGGTGGCCCCAACTTGTCAGCAACAGTAGTAGTGACTGCTATGAACACAAACTCGTAAGAAGGGTTTAAATCCCTTTTTATTTCACTTTAGAAATCACAGATGCGTCCACTTGACGCTCACAAACTACGCCGACCCGGCGGTTAAACAAAATAGAAAAGTACAACTAAAAATAAAATGACAGGATGAATAAATAACGAAATCACTATCTACGAGGCTCTATAATCGTAACTAACTTAACCGCGTTCTAAGATACAGTTGAGATTCAGCAAACTGATTAAGAAGCTGAAAGATTCACCGAACTGCCGAAATAGGCACACAGGCCGAAACGCGCGGTTCTTAAATTTCTACCTAGCAACCTTCACGCTCGCGATTCAAGAAGCACACTTACAATCTCGTTTCCCTTCTATTTAAACTCAATTTACTTCTGCTAAAAATTTGAATACTCTGCGCGTTCTACTACGATTTACATACTCTGGCATTGGCAATTCTAGGGGAAAGTAAAGGCTTGGCAGGAAAGATAGCTTAAACTTAAAATAAATGTTAGTTAAAATAAATATAAACCCTACAACCTAGTCCTTCACCCGAATATGAGCGCTTAAAAGTCTAAATCTTGAATTTTAAATTTGTTTTATTATCTTATATTTTTTAAACTTTACCGAATTTTTGATTAAGAAACTCAACGATTTCAAAGCGAGCAGTGGCAACACATTGTACGGAATAAATATTTTTATATGCAGCGTGCGAGACTGTCTATCGGAAATTTCTAAAGATATGCAGTTTTTAAATATTTTTAGCTGAAAGGGGCATTAGCCCGAATGTTCTCGAAACGTGCATGTATGTGTAAACGAAAAAAAACTCTCCTTTGGGCGTAATATAAAATCTGAAGGCTTTCAGATTATTTTTTAACCTGAATAAATGATAATTGATAATAATAATAATAATAAATGATAATTTATTCATTTAATTTCTCAAACCTGTAGAGGAATTATGTCAACCAATCGGATCTTCTGCCTTTACAGACAAATAGATATTTCATAGGTACAAGCTAAACTTATTTTAAGTATACTAATTTCTGTTTTAGCCCAATACGGTTTATTTAATTTCTATTAAAGTCATTACAAATATCCAATTTTTTCTACGTGATTTTACTTTGATCTAATAAAGCATCAAACACAATGTTTTTAGGTCATTATTTGAACATAATTCTTAAAAATATTTACTACTCAGGATTTCTTTGCCTTTACACTTGCAACATGTTTGTCAATTAACGGTCAGATTTTTCTTTAAGCAGGTTTTTACTTTGAAGTCCCACCCCCAAAAAATTACATTATTAAAGCTGCAAAACAAGAGTTTACTCTGCAAAATTGAGATAAATTGCTTCTTTTTTTAATCTTTTTCTTTTTTTAGTCATGAGCATTTAAGAAATTGAAAACTAAAATCGAACAAAAGGAAGGAAGTTGCCTTAAAATTTAAATTAATTAAGATATCGCAGAAAGCAATATCTGCGTTAGAACGAAATTCATGTAATAACAAAAAATTATTATTTAAAGATTCGGATTTAACCTTTTTTATTAATTCGTTTTCATTGTATTTAAATTCAAACAAGCTGGAAATGCTTGTGAGATATTCATTTGGAAAAAAGTTATATGCTTCTATTTTTACAGGTTCATGAACGCTAGAGCATCTGGGAACAAAGCTTATATACCCACCGATTTGGAACACATTGCCAATGTTCTGACACATGCTGTAAGTACTTTGTTACTGCAATAAATTGATATAAATATCACTCTTATTTACAAAACAATTCAATTATTCTTTTTGAGTGATTTTCAGTTGACTGAATCATTGAAGAAACAAGCGCTCCTTTTAATACATAGTGAGCAATGAACATGAAAATTTATGTTTTTAATTATAACCGAAGAAAACCTTTCTCTTCGAGAGTCAATAACATTATCTTTACTAAATTTATGAAAAGAAGACTGATCAGTGCGTTAGTGTATATTTGTATTCATGAATTACTGAGTTCATAGTAGAGCAAATCAAAATGCAGCTCTTTGATTTGCAGTCAATTTTAGATAGTTTACAAAAAATATTTAGTCTTGGGAACGGCTTTTGAAATTGAAGAAAGAGAAATGCAATGAACTTGTTATAATTAATTGGGAAAAATTGTTATAAGGTATTACTCAACATCAAAAGCTAATAGAAATATGTAGCTAAATGTTTATGCTTGAAGCAAACATAAACCATTTAAGTATGAAAATATGAAGTATTCATTCATATCTTAGTCGGGTACAAAATGATATTGTGATTCTAAGGATGTAGTAAACAATCAAACATAGTTTTCCTAGGAAAACGTTTGAATACTCCTACATGTCTATTTTATTTTTTAATAATTATTTACTTGGAGATTAAAGTTCCTTTATACATATTTTATGTGAAAAAAATTTTGTTAACCTTATATAGCAAATTATTATACTTTGATAATCTTCTTTGTGATACAGTCAGGATATTAATTTAGAAATTTGGTCTCTCTTCAATGCTGGTAAATGCAATGGCCTTATTCAAAGATTTTTCATCTATACCCAGCTGCCATCCAAATACCAGATGTAATTTAAAGTGAAATTATAGAAGAAATTATCGCATTTCTTTGTGTGTGTTGTCGAGGTTAAGTTGGCAGCTTATAATGTTTTTACTTATTATATCATAATATCCTAAAATATTATCTTACAACATCATATTATTTTCATTTGAGCTGATGTCCTAAGACTCGGCAGTTGTCAAATTAATATAGAAATATATTTGCTTTGAAGAGAGTTATCGATCGAGGGAACTCGATACAATCAGCACTGCATTCATAGGAATAAAGATTAGGTAAGTTGTTAGCTTGCTACTACTTCATTATGGTGATATCGTTATGCAAAAACTTTGCATCATTTCCTCATTTTGCACAAATTACAAGGATCAGAAGAATAGAATCATGTTTTTCTTCTTTCTGAAACCATTTCTTCCATAATCGACTTTTGTTGCTATTTCTGAAGTTGTAAGTTTTTTTTCCAGCTGAATTTATTGTTATTTGTCCTCTACTAACTTTTCCACATATTCGTTGCTAACATGCTAGCTTATTGACTTGCCTTGAGCAAATATTATAGATGACTTAATATCTTTGCTTGCAACACAATGTGGCTATAATTTCTTCCTAATCGAATTCATGTTTCTGTAAGTCAGTTACTGTCAGGTTTTGTTAATGAGAGTTAAGCAATGGGAAATAATAAAATTTTGTGTCCAGAAGTCCTTGCGGACATAGGTTATCAGGGTCAATGTTCCTTCTAACCTTCTTCGGGAACATGCAAGGACCTGACTCGGAACAGAGAGCTTACTAAAGCTATGTTCAAAACTGTGGGAAGTAAACAGGATGCACAAGAAGGGTATACAAAACCCTTTATTTTTCTCTATTTACAATGACTTCCGTACTTCGGAATACACCGACCCGCTACTTGGGGTCAAAACGTAAAAGTATAAAAATAAAACTAAACTCTAATTTAACTTTAGAATAATAAACGTGGAAGATTGGCCTTATATTAACAGGAAGCGTATAGTACAGAGAACTGTGAACACTACAATACGTTTAAAATTTATCAAGAGGATTAAAACCTCTGGCCTGGAAGGCAACAAGCAACTGCGTAACTTCTAAGGTAAGCGGCCTGCTTCGACTCACTGCTTCCTCTCTCTCGCTTGGCAAAAAGCCACAACTTAAATACTTGGCGTTCGCCAGACAAACTTTGCATAAAAACCTTAACGCTTATAATTCTGGCCGGAAGTAGAAAATAAGAAGTGAAAGTAAAGATTTAAAATAAAATAAACGTTAGTAAAACTTAAGATCCTTACATCCTTACATACTTCCCGCCAGAGTTAATTAGTTTGAATCTGAGGTCTAAAACGACCTTGTTGAAAACTTTTAGCTCTAGAATCTAACGCGAGGCCAATCTTTTACAAACAACTTCGCTAGAAACTAGAAATTTAAAAGAAAGAAATTAGTTTTTACAATAGCAGCTCCCAGGATAACACAATTTTTTTTCATCTGTACTGCATCCTAAAAACAGGAGCTCTTATTCAAATCTGGTTCCTTCCAGAGATCTGGAAGGAAAACTAGTTTAATGAAATGTTACACAATGAAATGGCAAGTAACATGTATAATTATATTTCACTTAACATTCTTATTTCATTCATGACTATTTTAATTATCTCTCCCCGTGCTCTCTGACATGTGTTGTAAAAGAACACCAAACACGAATATGTTTATGTCTATGTGTTCAACACTTCCTCCTACAATCAAAACACTAACGTGTTAAAATTCAACATGCCAAGACCTCGTGACACACCCTAATTTCAACTCTACACCCTGAGGTACTATTCTGAAGGTGTCTAACTCTGAAGTGTAAAGTCAGAGAGCCTAACTACATCATTCAACCTTTAACACATATTCAACATGATTTAGTCTTTTTACAATCACACGAATAAAAAATTTTAACATTACTTTCACTTTTACCATATCACGGTATTTCTTAACATTTAAAATAACAGTTCACATTGTATATAAGAACATATCAACATGCTGTTAATTTTACACATTTGAAAACATACATTAGTAGTACATTGTTAACTTCTATTCTTTTCAAAGCAAGTGCCAATTCTTTCTACATTGAAATACTACATTTCAAAAAGTCTTTCAGACTAAAACTTCTTTCTTGCTAGAATGTTTTAAATAAAATTATACATAACTTTTTACAATATTTAAGTCTTTATACAACGCTATTATACATCAACTTTAGTTTTACGCGCGAGTAATTGAAAAACATAATACCAAAATCGGTAACAACTCATTTCTCGCCCTTTTGGCGATAAAGGTAGACCTCGCATGATAAAACGCATGGTAAAACTTCTTGAAATCTGCCACTTGCAGTAAGAATGAAAGATTAACTTAAGTTTGCAAAGTAACATAAAATTTTACTTATCTTTGTGATATTCGGACATCCTTTTCTGGGCCCAGTCCTTAAAGGTATTGCAGACAGTTGTTTGATTTATCCTCCTTCTTGTACGGGCTCGCCCTTCAGTGCCTTCCTCTGGAAGCTTCCTTTTTTCACCAGTTCGGTCACCCTTGAATACCTTCTTTTTCTCCTCTGCTTGTGGTCTTGGCCGTTTGAAGGCAGCTGGTCTTGGCGGAACCGGGAAACTTCTGACTTCTGTCGTGTTCCTGCTTGGACCTCGTTGCTGGCCGTTCAAATTTTCCTTGTACTTTTTAACTTTTCCTCCGCCGCTGATGGCCCTTCCGCAGTTCGGCGACATTTACTGCGGAGAGTCCTGTCGGATGAGTCGATCTTCCGTTTTAGAGCCGGGTTATAGTTGCCGTCATTTCTCCTGGTTCTCTTCACATCCGTCGTCCTTCTCCCTTCCTTCATTCTGGGGGTGTTCGTGAACTCTCTTTTCTGGACGGTGGAACGGCTTCTTTTTCTTGCTACCTTCAATTTTTCCGCGGGGAAATTTTCTTTTCACTTGCTCCTGCCTCTTAATGGCTTGCCCTTGTACTTGTCGTTTTTCCACCTCTGGAGCTTGTGCCTGCGGTGTCTGCCGTGCCGGATCCTGCAAAAGATCTGAAAATATTTGCATTTTATTACGATCAAAGTAGGGTTTGATTTGATCAATGTTTGCGGAGCAGGTTTCACCATTTCTGGCTTTTAACACTACTACAGCGTGAGTTATTTTTTCTATAACATATGGTCCTTCAAATCGTGGAAAAAATTTGGCAGTCTTATCTTCTGGTGCTGAAGAAAGTGAATGCTTAATTTTTAAAACTTCATCCCCTACTTTATAAGTTTACTCCCCGTCGTTTCAAATCATAATAGAGCTTCTGTTTTCTTTTGTGCTACTTCCGTATTCTTTTTTGCTTCCTTAATTAGTTTTTCTATATCACCCATTTTAAATTCTGGGGCTCTTTGTTGCACATAAAATAATTTATCTAACGGCGTTATAATCTTTCTGCCTAAAAATAACTCAGCAGGAGTTTTTGCCCGTTGTATCATGTTTTGCGGTCCTAAGGGCGAAAGCAAATTCATTGACATAGTTATCCCAGCTTTTATGAAAATTTTTTAACATAACTACGGATAATTTTCACTATATTTCTATTGACCCGTTCCGCTATATTTGATTGCGGCCGATACGGGACCATTTTTAAATGACGTATGCCCAGTTTTTGGCACATGTCTTCAAATATATTACTTACAAATTGAGGACCATTATCCGATATAACTTTTAGGGGCGCCCCGTATTTTAAAATATATTTATTTAAAATAGAATCAGTAACTAATTTCGCGGAGGTTCGTTTTAAGGGAACAATTTCGGTCCATTTACTAAAATGATCAACCATAACAAGGAGATAGCGACTTTTATTTAACTGACTTTTTGGGAAAGGGCCCAATAAATCGATGCCAATTATTTCATTTGGAAATTCGGATTTAATACTATTTAGAAACCCGGCCGGGCGGAAATTAATATAATTAACTGCTTGACATGTTGGGCAGGACTGGACATACGCCCTTGTTAACTTTTGCAGTTCAGGAAAGTAGACTGCCTCGCGTACGCGTTGGATAGTTTTTCGAATACCAGCATGAGAAGCTAAAGGGCTGTCATGGAGCTCCTGCAGGATATTTAATCTAAGACTAGCTGGGATAACAGGTCGAAATTCGTTGTTG